CACATTGATCACCCTTCCTGTCAAAGAAAAATAAACCACAATCCAACAAGAAGTCGTTACATTATACCAACCTAATAGAGACACTTTAAAAGAATGCTATATTTGCAAAAAACTAGTCCTTCTTACAAAAGTAGGTAAGTACTAATAATAAACTCATGTTGGCACTTTAAGTTGCATTCTACCAAGACCTTGAACGTCCCCTGCAGGTGCATCCATCCATGCACCTGCTATGCAGTGACCTATAAAAGCAATAATTAAATAATTTATTCCCCAACAATTATCCCTTAGATGTGGGTCAAATAAAAACGATGTTTTAAGGGTCAGTGGGGCAAAACTATACATTATTGAGGTCTAAATATAGGTGAATGTGTTTTGATAAGTTTATTTCGGTTTTAGGTTTCAGTACGTTATATAGCTACGTAAAAACTAAGTCGTAAGTAGTACATTTAGGACTGATTTTTCAATAGTAAGATAAATTTTATCTGAGGAATAAAATTGTTGCTGTCACTGTCTTAAACAAACATTCTGATGCGACAGCATCATAATTATGCTTCAGGTAACTTTTAATCAGCCCTTGATAAGATATTTGACGTAGTCAAGTAGCATAATACATAATTGTTTGTAGGTACCTAACGTTGACAGTTATCATCAATATTTTAATTTATCGGAAAAAGATTGTAAATATCCTTGACAGTCTAAAAATCTAAGGTTGGTAATAGCTTCATATTTGACCACTAGCGTGACAAGATAACAAACTTAATGTTTATTTATTAAGTAGGCACATTTATCAACCCTTCACAGTCAAAACAATCATAGAAAGTACGTTAATACTCGGAAAAAGTCACAGTGGTACTTACTTGCTACTAGGTTTTGAACCCAAACCCTCATGCATGAGAAGTAGGTGCCTAAATCTCCGGGCCACCACATTTGGTTAGAGAAAACATCTTAAGGAAACCTGGACTTATAAGTTTGAAATCCAATTCGCATTGAGCAAGCATGGTGATTAATGTGAGCAGAGTGAGTGAGAAGAGGTCTTCGATCAGCAGTGGGCATTTATAGGCTGTTGATGATGTGAATATTCAGTTTATGTTATAGTTTATGTATTTGTTTACACCGGTTTCCTCATAATACGATATATACCCATATCCCATTATGAGGAAAACGGTGTAAACAAATACATAAACCCTGAATACACTAGAATTTAAAACAAATCATTCAAGTACTCTCACTTAGACCTCTACTTATTTTGTTTATACAAAACACCATTTATACGGAACCCTATTCGTTCCCTGAAGCTACGTACTCGCAAGTACTTGACCAACATACTTACCCACGTATTTTTTTATGTCCCACTGCACGTCCGCTTGACTGCACGAAAGGAAATGGGGGATCTATGTAAAATTTTACAACTGCTGTCGTTTTTACACCTACATACCTATTAGCATGTATTAAACTTTGTTCATATGCATCCATCCATTATACAAACACTATAAACTGAAAAGGTCAATATTTAATATTGAAACGATTATGTGTAGTATAATAATAATATGAGCACTGTGCATAATTTCATTCCAACCAATGATTGTTGCCAACAACAATTTTCTTTGTACCTAATACCAAATTTATTACTATGGTAACATTAATTTATTTACCGGTGTAAACAAAACGATGTTCGCTATTTGAATTTTATGACGCACGCTGCAAGACACAATAACGTACTCGTTCAAATAATATTTATTTTATTTTGCAAATAAATTTTGTAAGCGAAAAGTGCTCCATTCAGACGCTAAGGAATTTCAATATTGGCTCTTATTTGGCATTTTTCTGGTAAAATATGTTGTCCATAATTAGAATACTTGCATTTAGATAGCATGCATTCAACGTATAAAAAGCCAGATGTACAACACTTATCCTTATTTACGTACTTATTTATGAATAAATAATATTGAATGGCTATTCAGAGGTCACACAGATGGCGGTCTTACAGACAAAAGCTTCGTAATAATATTGCTGAAACTCGTTTGTTTGAGACGCAGTTCTGTTGCCAGCTTATTTATTCCTTTATACAAAACATTTCGACGTCCTTCAAGCCTTATGTTGTGAAGATAAGGTTTGAATTTCCAATTGATTTATATTATGGGTACGCAAAATTAAGTTGGTGAGGGCTCGATTTGGCTGGTGTTTCGATACACGTGTTCCTTCGAGTTCCCCTCGGAGTGAAATGCACTATCACCTGGCCCTTTAGACGTAAGTAAATAAAATTGGGTCACACGTTACGCCATTAGTTTCTTTATTCCCTCTGAGGTACTCCAGCCCTCAGCCTTGGACCGGTTTGACGGAACAGGGCGATTCTGTTTCTTTGCTCCTTTCATACATGTCCCCTATTAAACACGTGCGCGCTTTGAGAATCGTCACATCGATTCACATGAATGACGGATTCCGATTCACTAAGCCCTTAGTTTTTTGAATATAATAAGACTGAATTAGGGTGATAACAATGAAGTTTTTTTCTACAGATTATTTCTTCTGTCCACTATTGGTCCATTTAAGAGGTATTTTCCCAAGATTCATATGAGTTTAGAATTTATGGTAGGTACACAGTAAGTACTTAAATCTGGCAATACACATTTAAAAAGAGGTTGGTACTTACATAGATACGTGCTGTTTTTTTAGTCTCTGGAATATTCTTGTCATTGCCGTTTATTACCTACCTAAGTATCATGTAGGTTATGTGCATACCTAGATAGTTTAGTTGGTTTATTTATTTATAAGTAGGATAGATTGAGCACGCCTGTGTGGTTAGCTGATTGTATTATTATGAATCGTTTAGGTATAGGTACCTACCTCAACATTGATAGTTTCTGTACCGAATATGTAACGTGTAATCAAATAGGTAGGTATTTAGTTCACAATTAAATGTTTATATTTAATATGAAATTATTATGTTGCACTATACTTTTAATGAAACTAGCTTTTAAAACAGATTAAGTACCTACCTTACAGACACTGACATTGACATCTCACATAAGAGTCAATACTACTACTACCCCTAAGTACCTACTCAAAATATCTAAGCACCTTGATGTAAATGGGAAAAGAAGCTTAATTACAATTTTGTTCGGCCTACAATTTCATTATCATTACTGTATTTATTTTACGCTGTGAGAAAAAAGTCATATCTGAAACTAATACCTATAATTTTAGGAGCGGGATATGGAATGGGCTATGCTTCAGCTCAATATAAATTGACGAAATAAGTAAATCGTGACGTCGTTCAATATTTCAAATATAAAGAAAAAAAATACGCATCTAATGTTTTTAATAAACGAAAAAGACGGGCCTTTATAAGAAGGTCGTTATAATATACCTATTGTTGGGCCACGAGAAATGTGTAGCTATATCTGTAAATGCACATGACATGACAGAAGAATATACGAAGTGCCCGCGCTTTTTAAGAAAAAAAAAATATATGTCTGTTGTAGGTAGGTAGTAATATTTACAACTGCAAACGCTATCGTCTTACAATGTTAATGGAATGTCGATTAATTAATGTTTAATTAGGTTCAAGAAGATGATAATAATGTGCATATCAGAGTAAATATGTTCTCAACATGTTTTATGTTAGCCTGGGATGAACTCTTGTGATCTGTGATGTGATAAGGATCTGGATAACCTATCGACTTGCATAAGTGAAGTTTGCTAAACAATTCTGGTATATTGGAGATTAGAGCAGCAGTGCTAAATTAAAATTTTGTATTGCAGTCATTTTTAATTCCGCTGGGAGATTTTTAAACTTTCGAAGGTATTCTAAAGAATAATATGTTCGCACACTAACGCCATCGGGTGATGACGGAAGTGAGTTGAATTATTATTTTGATATGGCATTTTTTGACATTAGTTTTTTATAATTTGGCTGGTTTAGTACATTTTTTACTAAGATGAATTTAAGCAACTTTCTGAATAGTGGATACGAAATGTGTGATTTCTAAAGTGGTAACAGGCGGTAATTGAACATTTATTTTAGCATTTTAATATTAAAGCAAATGTCAAATGTACTGCTTAGAGGTGAGCTATTATTGGAGGATTTATCTTCAACAAAGTGTTTTTTTTAATTAGGGGGTAGGTGGAAATTATTTTTAGTTTTCTGACTTTAGCACACAAGTTATGACACTTCGTTCAGTCTGCATTGTACATTCGGTTTAAAAAGTTAAGAAAATGTCAGAAGCTGGAAAGAGTGGAAAGCAAGACATACACAACCTAGAAAGGTAAAGTACCTAATATTGTTTATTTATATATTAATACTAATATAATATAGTAAATTTATTCACGGAATAAGTACTTAAACGTAGCTATTAAAACAAAACAAAAAAATACAATTTTGAAGTGTAGGTTCCAGCGAGCCAATTAGGTAGCGACAAACGTGGTACAAATCTTCATTTTGACAAACTAAGGTGTGAATTAAATAAACGATTTAATAAAGTTCACAAAATAAAAAAATTGGACATCAAATTAAGATAATGGTGATGTTGTTTTACTATGCTGCTATGACTCATTCATAATTCCTTAGTGCACTTCTTACTGTAGCTTCCCGGTCTATCTACCAAACCTCGGTGTTTCCCATTTTTAATTCATTTAAAATCAAGTCGGTATCGCTAGATTATGGTGCGTCTCCCGTTCATGGATCCGACTGGTAGAAAAATTAAAAGACATGAATGCGTTCCAAAACTTAACATCGCTGTCAACATCAACAAACAAGGGTGGGGCGGTGGCTACTGGCTATGGCTATGGCAGCGTTGGTAGCACTCGCTCCTGATGGATGAGAGGATGAGACATCCGCAGCCGCCTCCCGCTCCCGCGCCCGCTACCGCGCGAAAGTGAAAATTCGCTCGGCACTTTCTCCCCACCGCCGGCGTGTCGGCCGCATCGGCCCGCCCCTCGCTGCACCGCCGCGCGCCCCTCCGCGCGCCGCAAGGTCAGCCCCGCGTGCAGGCGGGTGGCGCGGCGGCGCGGCGACGCGCTGCGCTCTTGAAATTTCGCTTTCGTTCACTCGCGGTTATTAGTCGGCCGCGCGCGCTCCGGCAAGCATGTGTCTCGCGTGACGCGCTCCACTACTTCCGCGCGGCACGTTCGATTTCGTTGGCAAGTCGATCGTGGAATGGCACCACGACGGCAAGGCGCCACCGGCGAGCGCGAGGCGGAGGAGGCTCGCGGGTGCTGTGTCCCTGGCGAGTGCCTTCGCCCTCGGGAACCCGTGCGTATCGAAGATGCCGTGCGCGTGCTTTGCAACAATGACACGTGCGCTGCCGGCCGGTACATGCACCGAGAGTGCTTCGAGCAATGGGAAGGAGGAGTTCTCGCTTATCTTAAGTCATGTGGTCGAGCTCGCTCCTGGTCTGAACGCCAGAGACATCAGAATCTATGGACCAAAAAAGGCTACGATCTGGCGTTCAAGGCTTGTGGCTGCCGATGCGGCAGAGGGCATTTGAAAAAAGATCTTGACTGGGCACCTCCGGGCGCTGCGATACGAGCTGAAGAGGAGAAGAAGCGTCGCCGGCGCACACGGTCAGGCCGTACGCCAGCAGCTCCAGACGGCCGCTCGCGCGCCTTCAGCCTGTCCAGTTCTGGTTCTTGCTCACCGCCTTCAGCGCCTTCCGAGCCCTCAGCTAGTCCTACTCACGCTCCGACGCACGCCGTCACGCCTGCTAAGAAGATATCCAAACCTGAAATTGTTTCCGACAGGATCAGGTAAGAAACTTGTTTTCTTATAAGTCATATTCTTATCAGATATCTGTAGGTAGGTGTTCGCTTGCACACATACACACTTTATATGAGGATTACGAAATGTCAGCAGTTATGAACAAACAGCTTGAGTAACCGCCGGTATCTGACGCTGGTAAAAACTACACACGAGAGAAATATAAATAAGTTCCTACTTATTACACCTACATGAGTCGTAATGAATGCCATACGTTGCCGTTACAAATTATAAACACTTAAATATTAGCCTACAGATTCCGGAGTGCATTGAATTTTGTTTGTGTAGGTTGGTACACCTACAACGTCGCGTCTAAGCGTAGTGTGTGTGTTGAATGCATTTCTTGTCGGTTGTTTATATCGTATCGAATAGCAGCACCACATAATTGGCGTAGAACTGGTTGGAGCGGTGTCGGAGGCGGCTGAACGAGCCACAGAAACCGGCCGGCGCGGCCCTACACCCCGCTATTGAATTTAGATAAGATGCAAGTTGCACTCCGTACACCTACCTATGTTTGGCTAACCCTGAAGCGATAAAAGGTTTCTGTAGTCCTTATCGCGTAGGTACACAAACTTCAGTAAAACTTAAAAAAAAAAATCTTGCCTCAAAATAGTAAAGCTTTTATTTCTATGAATTAGTTAGGTAAATAATTTAAACTAATTATTATTTAACTAAAAATCTACACGTTACGAAAAAAATATAGAGACTTATCTGTATAATTTACTGAATTCCTAATTGACAGAAACCAACCCATCTGATAAACTGGTAGGCACTCAATTTACGGTAGGTATGTACCTCCAAGTAACTTATCTTAAACTTCATTAGATATCGGCAGTCATTCATAAAAAAACCTTTATTTGTAAACAAGCCATTAAAACGTTTTGTTATCTAAAAAAGCATAAAACACCCACTCACTTCCTGATCGCAATGATACAAGTGTGCTATTGTTATTATATAAAACCTTGCATTTTTTATGTGTGGGTAATGTACAAAAAACCCTTGTAACATAACAATAGGTGGGGCCATAAAAACCTGTAACAGTTAATCCTATTTAAATTAAGGCCACAGTATGTTAATAAACTTGTTTTATAATAAAATGTACGAAATAATAACTCAATTGAACTGATTGAGAGATGTGATGCCATCTATACCTACAATACAACGTGTTGCGAAATTAATTAAGTACTTGTCAAATATTTAGGAAGCTATTAAAAAAAAAACACGCAAGGGCAAGCGCTCAGACTGCCAGCTATGGCCGACATGCAATTAACAAACAACAATTCGTTGTAAGCTTACAACTGACACAACAGTTGTTTTTTTTTTTTTTGTTAATAATGTCGAATTTCATTTCGCTACCAAATTGGTGGAGCCTTAAAAATGCAATTTCGTCGGCTTAATACATTAACCGCGGTTCGCTGCACAGCTGGTTTCCGTTTCCTGGCAAAAGTGCGTTTTTCCCGAAATTGCGGCAGCTGTCCCTTGGCCAAATTGTTGTTCCTGTTGTCCTGCTGCGAAAGGGAAGCACCTGACGTTACTAGTCATTACACGTTTTTTATAACCAGTTTGAATTTGCAAACATCTTTTATTTAGGTAAGTATCACTTCAACCACTTTCACTAGATAAATGTCTGTATTTTATAACATATTATTATATCCTTTTTAGCGTACCTTTTTGTTCTTAAACGTAAAAAATATATAAAAAGTACAGTCAACAGCAAAAATGTCATTACATGCATCGAGTATACGCTCATAATACCTAATCGTTAAAACCATTAACCCGCCGATATAGAATCGTCGCAGTAGCCATTTTCCTTACTAGCCGTAAACATTAGTCTATTAATAGAAAACATGAATGAATGAACGTTATCCTGTGTCGTGTTGACATTTTATTTGTTGAATAAAAAAGTAATAATGCCTCTAAAATTACTAAATATTACACATAAAATTGCAATATTTTTTAACCTCATTTTTCTATTTTTCGACGTTGACAGATTATGCACTGATATTGTAGATGATATCTTTGTACCATGGTGGTAATCTTATCATCTTGTCTGTTGATATAAATTTTATAATACTGATATGCATTTTGAAAGAACGTTAACAATAATTTTATAAAAAATCATCAAAGGATTTTACTGTATGTAAATTAATTGATTGAATAATAATTATCACGCCATCATTTTAACCGCGCGTCTTAATAATCTATGCTTGTAATTTACATATTGAAGTTTTTACTCGAACATTTTAATGAAAGAGAACTAGTTCAATAAATACTTCGTTCCACAGATTAAATCTATTCTTTGTTAAAAATCTTGCGAACAATGATTATATAGGCACGTTTGACAATCCTAAACCAGTGTAGATTAGATGATCTTGGTCATTTCGTTTTATTACGCCGTGGGCGAACTCCGTTTCGTCCTCAATTAATTCATACGTTATTCTTACTTGACCTCACAGACACAATTTTCCTGTAAAAATAAATTTTTTTTAATTAACAAGTACATCTGCCATCATAGGACAGCATTTAAAAAAGAATGAATGCATTACTTAAATCGTTCTAAAATATGTAAATTATAGAAGCCGATAAAACCGTCATAATAAATCTTACGTCATTAGGCGAGGCACAAACTACCAATAAGAGACGTTTCCAATCGATTCCAAACAAAACAAATGAAGCAGTTAGTATGCGCCGGCGCATCGTTTTGTTTTCAATTATGTTACTAACGCATAAATACGGGCTATTATGTCTGTGGTCTCTAGATCGGACATCAATTTAAACGCTTCGCATCTTGAAGCGTTTTAATTTATTATTTTAAAATACAATTTAAATATATGAATATTTACTTTAAAGAAACATTGTACTAAAACCGAAACGTTTCCTGATGCTATTTAAAACTGGAGGAAATTACCTGTTTAAAATAAAACAATTAGCATTCCGCGTTCGTCTGTGCGTCGCATATTGTGTTGTGTACATATACCTACCTGTACTTAACACATCTTGCGTGAATTTATTGAGTAAGAAGTACAGCTGTCGTTGAATCGGGTATTGTTTACTAAGACGTCTAGGAATCTTGATACTTATAAATTGAAACTTGAAGATTTATATTGAATGTTTTGAATGAAAATCCTGTTTGTGCTAACCGCTTACTGGGAATACATGATTCTAAGGAAATGAATGAAATTTAAGACATCAGGTAATGTTTAATAAAAATAAGTTAATAAGTTAAATGAACATAACTCACAATGCATGTTAATTATATAAATACTAAAAACATACTTTAAAGCTTATAAAAACTAACACAATATCAAATAGGTGTACTCCCATGATGATAGCTAATAATCTCATAACATTAGTCATAATGTTATCATAAGAAAATATTACAAAAAATAATAAAAAATAAACACATACACATCGTGATTCATTCATAGTAACAATTATTCTGTTTAAAGACTATAATTATTTTGATTGTAATAGTCTGAACTATGATCGACATAGAAGAACAAAAAAATTGAATACGACGTGAACGTAATTATTACAAGTCTAAAAAAAAAATACGTTACACGTGTAGTATAAAATTGCAGTTTATAAAAATGATTTGGAGTTTTATTTTGAATAACAAAGCTGTTTAAAATAGACCGGTTTTTTTAATTACGATTATTAATGAGTGGGCGTGAGTCGAAAGAAAAAAACAAGACGTTTTTCGGCAGCATGTTATTATGTTTTAAATATCATAATGTTGTTATTTATTATGTTTAGCATTGAATAATTATGTATGTAGTATTACTATACGTAAACGTGTCAAAAAGGCTTGGCACGTTTTTAAAAAATGGCGTTGTAAGTTTTATAAAACAGTACCTAGGCACTATTGCTTCAAAAAATTATTAATACCCTGGTAGATTTGTCAATTGTTCAACTTGCTAAGACATGTTTTAGAAAGAAAGAAACACATTTATTCGACAAATTTATTAAAAAAAAAACCGTTTTCCGTCACAGAAAAAAAATATTTTGCTGGGTAATACAGAATCATTTTCTTTTTGTACCTATTTAAATTAACATGTCTATCGAAATTTATTAGTTACGTTCATTCATTATAAGCTTAGCCCTGAATACATAATAATTATAATAATGTTTTTTAATATATTTTATAAATATCACGAATCGTTTTAGTTAAATAAAAAAAATTGCTATATTACAAAATGACGAATCACGCCTTAGCCTTGAGCCGAGCGAAACGTAAACACGGTTTTAAGACCTTGTTAGTATCGCGAATAGTAAATTTTCATTCATATTTATAAATATTATGGGAATATACCAAATTTTATACATCAATCATATTAAAATAACGCGTTAATTATGTTAAATAAATGCTATTCATATTTTGAACTTGACTGTACCTGCCTTGTATTATTTTGTTAATTAAATTTAAAATAATTTCCTTTTTTATATTATAAGGTAATTTAATTTCGTTGCATAATACGAATACCTAACGAATGAAAAAGTTTTTTTTCGGTACTTAACTCATTTTTTATATTAATTACCAAAGTATTACGTATAAGGTATGGCGTCTGTTTACAAAAATACTCTTGCGATATCATTCCGATTTTGGATACTGACTTAATACATTTAATTAGCAATGTAAATAGCAAACATTGGTTAATGCTTGTCGAACTGCGTTTCCAAGTAAACCTGGTGTGTACTCTGTAAGTATACTTGTTTTAAATTACATTTAAGTGCAGTCTGTAGTATGTATGTCTGAGGCGCGACCACTGTGACTCAGTCGCCAGTCGGGCGTGAAGCAGACTTGAGGAGGGGAGGCCTCTTAAAGGATATATATCACTGCACCACACTGAATATACCACGTCTTTAAATCATGTGTGAGATTTGCAAATCAATTCATCAATCGTATTTTTTTAATATTTAAATAAAATATTACAATGTTTTGAAGATTCCATGCGCCATGTTTATTTGGCTAGTCTAGTTCTAAGAATTC